CTCAACTGGTTTCAACCAAGCACTTAATTCAATGTTTTCAAACCAAATATGGTTGATAGCAATATAAATGCAGGCCTAGTGTTCATTATAATTGTAGTGCTAATGTTGATTCCTTTTTCAATGTAATGTTAATAATTGCCTTAAAATTCAGATAAAAAAAGGACACCCCAATATTCAAAACTACCAATAATGACAAAAATAATAATTACCGCAAAAGATGAACTTGAATATGTATCATTCTCGTGGTTATACTGGTGTCTGTGGTCGTAGGTGCTAGCTATCGTGGGCACAATGTGCAGGGTAGTCCAACACGCCAGCAGTATGCTCACAATACTGAGAGCCAGCGATATGGTTACCTGTATATAAACACAACCAGAGGGAGAAAGAGGAGGAAGAAACACATGTTGGCAGTATATGGACAACATGAAGGAAAATCAATGATATCAATTCTTATTAATCGTTCAAAAAGACTACCATATCAGATATAAATGATCTTTCTAAGCATTTTTGGGGTCAATATCATTTGTCTGTTATATTTTGTATAGGCACAGGAAAATAGAAAGTTCTGTTTTGTTTAAAAATACAAAATACATCTTACTGTTTTCTTGGTTGGAATGTGCTCTGTCACAATATACAGAGTCCCACATATGGCGAACTACAAGAAAGAGAACAAAATACATATTTTATTTTCCATCTCTTTAAGGATAGGCTATGCATTAGATTTGAATTAGAAAAACTAAGACAAAGCTTATTTTCGAGGCTTAAATATTAAAGTGAATACAAATTACTCTCAGCCTGTGATCAATTCTTAAACAAATGTCAATAATTGCTGGTTTCTTTATTTTACTAGTTTGCTTCGTCAGTAAAGGAATCCATAAAGCCCTATGATTCATCGATTGGATCTCTTATCTTGCTACAAACCAGTGTTCCCAGTATGAAGTCAGGCTGGATGGCTGTCCTCATGGAGTATTCTGGTTTGGTCGTGAGGGAAACATTGAACAAGGACAAGCCCAAGACCAGCACCATGATCTAAGAGAGAATAAAAAACAACTTCAAGCATGACCCCTGTTTTATTTTTGATCTGTTTTAGCATCAGTAGTGACCCTCAAATGTTAGTCCTTTGGAAAGTACTTGTGTATAGAAATATTTGACAGAGCATAGTGTGAGCATTAGGGAGTGTGTGTGTGTGTGTGTGTGTGTGTGTGTGTGTGTGTGTGTGTGTGTGTGTGTGTGTGTGTGTGTGTGTGTGTGTGTGTGTGTGTGTGTGTGTGTGTGTGTGTGTGTGTGTGTGTGTCTCACGCCAACAGTCTTTGGTTGCCTCTTAATGAAGCGGTGTAAAGGTTTGCTGCCCCCCACTGTGGTGCTTTGAAGACCTGCATTAGTTCCTCCTGGTTCACTCACACGAAACAGCTCCACAGACATCTTACGGACAAACTGAGAGAACGAGTGAAAATCTTTACAGATATCAATTATGATGGACACGTTTATTCTGGTTCTTATCCATGCTTTGGGAAAATGCTGATAATAGATTTGCCCTCCCTCACGAATGTACTTTGTAAAGTTTCAGTTTATCCTTTTTTGTCAAGATAAGTGCTATAAATCCAAGATTTACTAACGCTTGTTTTCGTCACTTGATAAGCATAGCTGAAATGTGTGTTTCTTTCACAAAATATTGACACACTGTATTTTGTACTTATCATAGGAACCAGCAAACCATGAAGTTCTCAATTCTGAATCAATGAGGACGGTTATTTAAATGTTTTATTTACATTTTAAAATATATTTATGTCTGCCTTTTTAGGTTGAAATGATTTCTTCCTCTTTCCACAAAAAGTAGAACAAAATGTTTGTGTGTAGTACATTCTAATCTACACTGAATGTCAACATCACAGTGTACTCACACATGGTATTAATTTAACATGCAACAATGGCCCTATGAAGCTCTGACAGCAGAACATATAATGGCTGATTCTCATGAAATATCTGTGTCATGTTCAACTTTAAAATGGACTAAATAATACAAATTAACTCTCCAGATCAAGAATGAAGTTCCCACGGAAAAAACACCTACTGAGTTAATGACGCAACAGCAAAACAAGTCGTAAAATGTTTGGGATTAAAGCCAACTGCCAGCTGCAAACATCAACAAGTCATAAATCCTGATGTTGACAACAAGCAATCATGCACTGAGTAGACTGCCAAGGAAAAAGTTGCCGCTGAAGTTGCAGAGATTGAAAAGTACGAGTTAAAAGTATTACGATGTTAAAGTGTCAAATCTCATCAAAACTGTTAGAAACAAAATATATACTTGAGAACAAAAGTAGTCAGACCTTGTGTCGTCCTTTGGTCGGTTGTGCAGCTCAGTGCTGGCTCTTGTAAAGATGCACATCGTGTTCACATCTGGATCAGCGTAAAGGGGAGTGGTGGAAGATCGGTTCATTTTGAACACGAACATTCCTCTGTCAGATGGGCTTGTTTTAACTCATGACTAAGAGTTTAGTTGTTCAATGCCCTATATCAAGATTTATTTCATTTATCATTTATAAGATTAACTTTCTTAACTGACACCATTCAAAAAGAAAAAGCACAAATCACTTCGCTGATCGGTCATTTCAGTGTGGTTCAGTTAAAAAAATTGTAAACAATTACTATGTTGTCCCTTAGATTTTTTCTAAGCTAAACTATTACATAATAAAGGCAGATCAGTATCTTCTGAACAGATCACAAGACTAAGAAGTATATCCCAGAGCCGACAGAGGTCTTTGCCTCTGGCCCGAAGACCAGGGTGAGACAAATATGTCTCAAAATGATTATGCAGTTGAGTGAACTTTTCCTTATTTTCTTAGTCTATCCACACATGAAAATTGGACGCCTCGAGAAGTGTTTGTAGGTTACACAATTCTGACAAAAACAAAGTAAACTTTGTGCACGTGTGTTTACCCTGCACTACAACACTGTTGTAAACATCTGTCCTTCTTTATTTGCTAAAATAACTGATGCTGTACTTTTTGTTGGCAGAGAAGTCTCTTATTTTAATTTTAAACTTAATTTTCAATTTAGTGTTTACTTTTACACACAAACTCAATGTATCTGTAATGCTAATGTGAGAAGTTAACTGCTATTGGAGGCATTTTGACATGCTGTTTCCTAGAGTAAACATCACTAGGAATGTGGTTAATTGTTTTGTGGGCCAAAATCTTCTTTTAAGAAACAAAGAAACAACAGCATGAACAACGCTTTCCTAACATGCAACAAAATGGTTGAATCCTAAAAAGGATCTGAACTTCCTTTCACTGATGGGGGGGGGCTCGGTTCACATAGGGTCATTAGGGGCCTGAAATGGAGAAGCAAAAGGAATGTGATGAAATAGTTTAAGGGAGAGAAGGAAAAAAAAAAGGAGGAGATGTCACAGATGTGTACTTTCGTCCAGCTCCATCCATTAAAGGGAAATACAAAGGACAGAGAAGGAAAAGAAGAAGTGGGGGGTGGGAGAAGACAGGAGACCATTACAATCAACACTTTACATTAAAGCACTCATGAAGTTTTTTCAATTAAAAGTTTTAAAAAACAAGTTATTTTACCACTGCAATGCTATTTAAAAGTCTATTGTTGCACACATTAATAAATTAATAATGATAAATTATTACCGAATGACGAGTAAAACATCTAGTAAGATTGCATCGAGATATACAGTTTAATTACAACAGATGGTTCATAGTTAATAATTAGATTGAACTACCTACGTAAACATTATTTGTATAGCTAATTAAAGTTGCAACTGATTACTTTAATACCTAAATAAATGGCATACTTTGTAAAGCCTCTATACATGTTAATTAGATGAACACTTATCAATGTTTACAAATGTGGAAACCATCTATAAACATTATGCATTACGATGTTTTACAAATTATTTTTTGAAGGTTTACATAATGCATGCAGCAAGGTTGACAGTGTGCAGAGCTCTTAATAATGTGTCTTCTAAACCAGTGGTTCTCAACTGGTGTTTTCAGCATACAATATTAATTAATGTACAGTGCATATATCCTTTATATCCCTTTTTCTAAAGTATGCTTTAAAAAAAGGTTTAATGAGATGATTTTTAGAAATACTAACATATAAACTACGCATTCTGGTACACTCTGAGAAGAAAATAAATAAATCTATACTACCCGACATATTAATAATATTTTATGCCATTGTTTGTTTTTCACTTTGTTCTGACAGCTGAACTTGTCTGTGTGAATTGTGGGTAGGGTAGATAGCCCCCATTGTTCTGTGACCTGTCAATCATCAAACCGGGGGTCATATTTCAATTATGTGTTCATTTGTATCTGAAGTTGTACCCATGGATGTATAAAGAATAGTTCTACCGCAAAGTTATTCTCCGTGGGGACTTCCGGCAACAATCTTGATTTTGATTGGCCAGAAGACTCGAAAAAACATCAGCAAAGATGTTTTAGTGAGAAGTTGATCACTACGTAGTACGTGATAGAAGTTTTCAAAACCGTTTATGGTGTCCAGTACTTCCAGTCCAACGCCGACTGCATGCACAGCGTTAGATAATCAGGCCTTCAAAATAAATGTTTTGACTTTTTTTCAAAAAGAATTGTCTTCACTCATACATCTGCGACCCACTCGAAACGGGTCCGCGACCCGCTTTTGGGTTGCGACCCACCAGTTGAGAACCACTGTTCTAAAGTGATCAGAATGGAATTGTTGTTATGTCTTATTAAATTAACCTGGTAAATTGTATTAACATGAATTCAAGATCACTCATTACTAAGGATTAGTATTCCTAGGTAGTAATACCACGGTTTAAACATGCTTCATTACATATACTTTTATATTTGTTCTGCAATATGTGCAACACTTCAATAAAAAAAACATGCTTCCTTAAAAGAAAAGCTTTGCACATGAACAAAAGCTTTGTCAACAAAGTCATCACAAGTGAAACGTACTTAATATGCAGAACTGTTAAAAGGAAGTGAAACACAGTGTAGCAATCACCTTTGAGTTTATTGAAAAATGTGTCCACTGTACAGATTTATTCAAACTATGTTATCGATAGTAGCTTGCACGCTGCTTCACGGTGCCCTGAACATAATCTTTACACGGGAAAGCAAACCGGATCGACATCCAAGTCAACACAGAGACAGATATCTGGTCAAGAGTTCATACGATCTTTCACAGAAAGAATCAGGTGAAAATCATCAAAACAGATGATTTACTTAAAAAAAAATGGGAAGAGCATTGTGTTCATTAAGAGGAAAAATCAATTCTTACTTCCATATGAAATTGTACAGTAAGTATATCTCTGTGCTTGAATTAAAGGCATGACGATTTTACGATTATCAAATTAAATGACCTCACACGGATCAGAGTGATTGTTTGGCTTAAATAATCACAAGTTATCGTGTCTGTGAATGTTTGACATACTTATAACAATAACAGGGCATATACTTCCCTATAAAAATCTGGTGACAATCATCATAACATCCACATAAATTCACATCTTTGAATCACAACAGCATGCATCCTCTGTGTCTTTTCTCTGGTACAACTTACACTGGATTCCCAAAAGGCATTTGAACATCAAACATCTTAGATGAAAGGTCATTAGTTTCTCTTGTTGTCGATCCCAGCACAGCATTAGACATATCTATCCTATGCACCAAGATTATATAGCAGTATAACAGACAATCAATCCTAGTTCAGTCTTCTGTCATTTTGATTTCATTTCTTTTTTTCAATATAGGACACATTACTATCTGACTACAAATTAAATGATGAAATTGTTATTGAAATCTGGTGAATTGCTTTAAATCTGGAGAGTTGTAGCATATTCTATCCTTACAAGAAGATGTAAGACATTCAGAGCTGCTTTTAACTACCTAATATTTACGTTTTAATACAAACGGAGACTTTTCGGGGGTTGAAAGTATCTTCATTATGCTACACAAAGTACAAGTTTGGCTGTCATCCCTCTTGATACCCATGATGCATTAGATGAATTGACAAATAACACATGATTACCAGCTGACATGACACCCGAAAGGAGACAAGAAAGTCGCCTATTGTCCTTCCTAAAATACTGCATGTTGTTCTCTTGCTGAAGTGGTCACATGATGAAACTGCCCCCTCTCAGTGCAACGAGAGGTGGCTGGTTTAAAAACAGATTCATAATAAAACATACAATAGCTGTGAGTACTAAATGAGAACCAGTAACAAAGTATATTAGACAATAAATCAGCTCTCAAAAGTTTAGCAGAGCTTAAATATTCACTTCATATGTTCACATAAAATAATGTTATTCATGTTACAGTGGTTTCCCCCATTTTAAGTTAGACATGTGGTAAAAATAAACGCATCCATTTTGAATAAATCCAATACAATAAGTGTTATTTGATCAACGGACGGCAACATAAACACATGATTACAAATGAAAAGAAAATGACTGAAATAAATGTGTCGAGTCAAACCTCAACCATTTCACCATGCGTTTCTCCTTTACAGATAAGTGCTCCACATAACAAGTATGCTGTTCTGTGCATTAACAACTTCACAAAACTTAAAATCAGCAGTCATTGCATTGATGAGCATTAGTTATTATAATAACATACACTCTGAGTTATGTATAGACTACATTCTAGTATATCACCTGTGTTAACTTGCACATATAAAAACAGACATAAAGTACACACATAGGTATTTTGCATTGACCTGCATTGAGTATTGAAGTTAGAACATTTTTCACAGTAGCACGGTCCACACACACATTTATCTGGACCTACAAAAGTGTTCGGCACACAAGGGAATACTGGAAACACTTTCTGTGCTGTTTTTGCATGTACTGGATGTTTTCACTGTAATGTATTGTGGTATTTCTGAAGTCAAGTGTCCTGTATTTTTTGTAGTTGAGGTCAGAAAAGATAACTACAGTCACTATACTAGACCAGGTAAAACTGCAACCAGGTGTCTGTTTACTATTTGGTAAATATATTGCATGATGGGTAAAAAAAGCCACTGTTCATTAAAAGATTAAAATGAGTAATGCACCAACAGGCTGAATTGTATATGTCATTTATATTTTGTTAACACTTTTGGAGGCTTCTTGTTTAAAATCTCTGTTTGGTTACAGCAACATTTCTGCAAAAGTAGTTGCCTATTTAATTAACAAAGCGCCATTCTTATTACTTAATATTTCAGGGGATAAAAGTAGGGATGACTCGATATTGATACTAGAATATACAAGCCATTTGGTGAAAGATAACGATATCTATCATCATTGTCACCCATAGTATTGTGGCAGCTTGTTTTAACCTCCAGTGTGAATTAATAGTAGTATGGGATGAAGTAGAGAATGGGAACCAGCATTATGTACTTGTGCTCTGCAATGTAATGCAATGGAATGCATTTACATGATTTACTTTTGTGTGCTGCTTGCGTGTGTCTATGAGTCAGTGCACCTTCATATTTTTAATACGTGAGTCTGTGTTGTGCACTTATCTGGGAAAATAATCAGTTAAATACCCCCTAGCAGCTAGCAACTGAAATTCATCGAGGATTTTTTTTATGTTATTGAAAATGACCCCTTAGGTTTTCTTGTGTTGTCACTGTTGAATGATGGCAAGGTGGATTGTTTATGTTGGATATAGAAATCACAATAACTGACTTGAATCAGTAGTTACCTATCTTCTAAGTCTTTGATCCTTGAAGAAGCCATGAAGCTTGATTCATTCATCAGGAACAGCTCTTGGATAAGTGCTTCATTTCCTGTGGACATGAGCTACACAATGAACCCTGAAACCACTGACCACAGCGTGAAGGGGGTTCCTCAGCTTGCCTCAAGGGGCTGTGGCTCTTCACCTTGCTCGTCAGTGCCTTCAGGAAGTTCTTTGTTCCAGTAGCACTGGTCGAAGGTGTCAGAGCGGAGAAGGTCTGCTCCCTCATTTGGAGCTAGGAGCGGAAAGTCATGATCGACCATCTCGCACAGACGCACATAACTGAGAGGGAGAGACACAGACGATTCCAACCTTTAACCAGACAGTCAAACATCTGTACATGTGTGTCCATAGTCAGATCATATGATGGAAATCAAGTGAAACAAAGAGCATAGCTTACGAGGAGATATTGGTTTTGGCATGCTCCTGTATCAGCTCCCCCTTGGGATTGACAGTGAAAATCCTGTTCAGAGGAACGCCCACCTCCTTATAGGAATACACATCCTGAAATCACAAAGCATCACTACCAAGGGTAAGTGTTGGCAACAAATTGTGACAATTCTGAAATATTTTATTTTATATAATGCATAGAAATAATTACTATTACAAATGATTCCCTTTGAATAAAGAGCAGAAAAGTGAACCCTCTCACCGTAGCTCTGTTTCCAAAAGCAGCGTAGAAAGGCTCAGTGTTGGGGTAGAACAGTTGCTTTATGTCTGAGAGACACTCAATCTTAAACTTCTCTGGTTTCTTCTCAATCACCTCCCTACACAATATGACAGTAAACACATTTTACACAAACGATGTGTTAGCCAATAGATGAAGAAGACTGAGTGAAATGCATGAAAAACCCTAAAGTTCTAGTTACAATATGTGCACATGACGGTTTGTGCGTATATATATATATACATGCTGCTGGTGAAAAACAATCTTTTTAAATACAAAATTATAGTTACTATTATTCATTGCTGAGGCTATTTTTGTATGGCTCAAGCCCATATGAATCCTGATTGCTAAATGTTTGTACATGTGGTGTGTGTCTGACCTGTGCAAAGCAGAGAAAAGGCTGCTGGGGCTGAGCAGCACCGGGCCCATAGGCAGCATGGTTCCCCTCTCATTGACCCAGTGCAGGTAGCCTCGTGTCATGTCAGCCATACCAATGGCCCTCGCCGAACAGAACATGAATTTATATCCATTCCTGTGACAGAGAGAGAGACAAAGACACACATTTACCAATTTCAACAGTTGTGTATTCAGGTTTAAAAAGGATTCACTACTAAGATGCTATTATATGTCTGTTAAAGCAAAAATAACTAAACACATATATCAGATATTTGTAATGTAGAAGCTTACATTTGTATTGTAAAATGTCCTTAGCTTAACAACATCACTATGTAAGCAGTGTGGAGATTGTAAAGCAGCACTCACTGGCTGACTTTGTGGTAGAACCGAGCGATACCCTGGTGGGTCCAGTCTTTACCTAGAGTAGGGAGGATGTGACCCAGCGTGTCTGACCTACAGAGAGGCAACGTCACAACATTAATACAGATACACTTCTTTACTGCAAGTAGAGACACATCACCGACACTAAATCTGTGTAAAGCCTGACATCTAGTGGTGAAAAGTTTAAACTGAACTTCCTTCTGTCACAGGCTGCTTTGTTAATTTCCTATTGGATTATAACAACGACAGGGAGACAGTCTTGCTTTCCATTACCTGGTGATGGTTCCATCTATATCGGAGATAACTATCTTGTCATCCCAGCTCCACAGATAGATTGTGCCATGGCAGCGACATGTGCCCTGATACTGAGTGGTCACACTGAACACCACTTCATTGGCTCCCTCTTTCAGCTGCAGGCTAGCCTGTAAACACACACACACACACACACACACACACACACACACACACACACACACACACACACACACACACACACACACACACACACACACACACACACACACACACACACACACACACACACACACACACACACACACACACACACACACACACACACACACACACACACACACACACACACACACACACACACATTATTACACAAAGAGGCAAGCAATGACACATTAAAATTAAGAAAGTTAATTTGATATACAGTGTTAAGCTTGTTATATAGTGTAGATAGGAAACACATGCAATGACACAAAAATCATCAGGAATTCTGATTCAATTTCTTTAAACAAAATATTAGAATACCATTTTTCATTTTAAGATACAATAAATCTGAGTCTGAGATTATGGGCTTTCCCTCAGACCATTTGTTTCCCCATTCACTGAGCCTCCGATTAAACTGTTTGGAGCCCCATGGGATAGAGAGTGTAACCCAAAAAGCAACATGTTTTCACTCTTTTTAAAAAACATTTTAAGTTTGATGTTTGGTATGTAAGCGTAGGTAATGTATGTACTTTGTACACATTCATGCCATATAGTGCAATATGTAATAAGTCACTACAGAGCTTTAGAGCGTGTGTGCATACTTTATCCACAGTAAGGTTAATAAAACCAACTGTAGTAATGCATACCAGCTGCTCTGAGTTGAGCCGAAGAGTCTTCTTGTAAAAGACGCTGCCAGGACTCATGAGGGGCTCCGGCTGGCAGGATCCTGATGCCTGATTGGACGATCTGTTGTCTTCATCACTAGAGGATGACTCATCCTTTGTGCTGAAGACAAACAATTGTAATGAGAATATGAAAACTGATGAGAATGAAACGTTGTAAGAGACATGTTGTTTTTATGCTAAAAAAGGGTCTGTCACCTGTTCATTGAGGGCATGGTGAGTGAGCTCTCTCCACTGTCTCCCCCCCCATCCGTCACTGATTCCTGAAGTGCAGAAAGGTCAAAGGTCACTTAATCGCCTGAAATATTGTTGCTTTTGTTGAGGAACAAACATGGCCCCCAACATTTCCATTTGTCCCTTTCCCTCCACTGACTAGATTTACTGTGTAGATAATAAAGGCTTACAACCACTAAAAATGTGTGTAGTTCCAGTAATCCAAAATTCGATTGACAGATAGCAAATAAGCTTGACTCGGACAAGATACGTCTCAGGATAGTTTGTTTGACTCTTTACTTCAGCAAAAAGGTATCAAATACAAACACATATTTTCGCAGGTCAAAAAATATGTTGCTCTGTGCTTCTTTCTCCTTCTCACACACACACAATCACCAGCAGCTGCCGTCGTCTATGCCGTCAATTTCACATGGCTGGTTCGAATAAATGATATGATAGCACTAACAACAGAGGATTCTAATATTCAAATATATCAAACTATACATTTTAACATATGGCTCCTACAATGTGGATCCTGGAACTTACTGATTTGGAGTCGCTGTTCCGGCTCCTCCATGAGAACCACCAGCGTCCTCCTTTCTTTGGCATCTTCTCCTTCATGATGTTCTCCACTGAGGCCTGAAGAAAACCATGCATATACAACTCAAAACTGACTGGAAATGTAACTCAAAACTGACAGAAATAATGGAATCAAAGTGAAGCAGGAACTACAGGTACACTCATAAATACATGAACAGATAGCTCACAAGAAAATAATAAAGCAACACATTGCAAACGACAATGAACTGCAACTAAATCACCAAATAAAGGCAGTTACAGGTGGGAATTCAAAGGCACATAAACAAAGGAGGCAAAGTAAAGAGAGATGTCTGAAGATTGTGCCCGGATAGCAGTGGGGAAAAGTGCCACAAGACACAGGAGACAGACGGACAGACAGACCAACAGACGGACAGACCGACAGACGGACAGACCGACCGACCGACAGACAGACAGACAGACCGACGGACAGACCGACAGACAGACAGACCGACGGACAGACCGACAGACAGAACGACAGACGGACAGACGGACAGACAGACAGACAGACAGACAGACAGACCTACCGACAGACAGACAGATCGACAGACAGACAAACCGACAGGACAGACAGACCGACGGACAGACGGACCGACAGACAGACCGACGGACAGACCGACAGACAGACCGACAGACAGACCGACGGACAGACCGACAGACAGACCGACAGACAGACAGATCGACAGACAGACCGACAGACAGACGGACGGACGGACGGACGGACAGACAGACAGACCTACCGACAGACAGACAGATCGACAGACAGACAGACCGACAGACAGACAGATAGACAGACACACACACACACACATACACATGCCCTGACCAACTCCCAAGAAAAGTATCATACAGGTTGGGAAGGACTGGAGCCAAAAAGACCAGGGAGGCAGTATGAGAAGAGGCCAAAAGCAGAAAACACGTAACTCAAACACCAACACTTAGCACACAGAAAAATCGGATGAATGATGGAAGGGAAATAAAAGTGTAAATAAAAGAAAAAAATAAGGAGGGGGATAAAGACATTACATTATTATTGTGTTAGAAAAACAGTAAGATTTAAAGGCAAATGTCACTTTTGTTAGCGCTCCTCTGTGTGTTTATAAAAAGCCGATTCCAATTATATCATAGGGAATATCCATCAAAAAGTTCTCTTTATCCAACACAGTAAGTGTAAATAATCAATTTGTTTCATAAAAGGAAGCCTGGACACTGGCAAAAGACAACACTGAAGTGACACATCAGATAGGGAAAATGTATAATTATTATTTGCTAAATGATGTAAGTGTAGAGTAAAAAGTGATGCAGGGTCGCAGAACACTTACACCACACCATCTAACAATATAACAATGATGTAATCAAAGAAAAATATTTTAAAACAATTATGACTAAGCTGTATAACTTTACACTGAAAGACAATTATGTTGCAACTCCTAATGGTTAATTTCAATCCTACAATATACAAGTATTGTGTCTGACTGTGGTGGTCTTACCTGGGGCAGTGGTTTCTGATAAACCTGCATGGCCAGCATGACAGGAGCTGCTGTGTTCCAGTTGTAGTACCTAAAAGCAATGGCCGAGAGCTATAAGTGGTCTTTAAAAACTCAAATTTATATCTGACAAAAACAGGTGTCATATTTATTTCTAAATGAGGGATTATTACCCTAATTAGCTTTCTTGATGAACGTTTATGAGATGCCAGTGAGCCGATTGAGGTAACTTTGGCTAGAGGGAGACTTACTATTTCTCCAGGTTTCTAGTATGTGTGCTAAGTTATGCTAACCAGCTGCTAGCAATAACTTCATATCTAAGGTATATACATTAAAGATTGCATAGATCCTCTTTGAACCTTCAGGAAAGAAAGCCAATATGCACATCTCACAAAAAGCCCAACTATTCATTTGGAAGCTCAATTTGTAGAGCAGCATAGGGCAGACAAAATGTGTATTAACCTTCCATAATGAATATATTGGTAGTGGTACATACTTGTTTCCTATCTTGACAACCAGGTTGGGGTCATCGATAAGAGAAGGGTTTTCCGAAAACTGCTTGTAGGAAATTGCTCTCTCCTGGAACTGATCTGTGACATAAAGCACACACACACACACACACACACACACACACACACACACACACACACACACACACACACACACACACACACACACACACACACACACACACACACACACACACACACACACACACACACACACACACACACACACACACACACACACACACACACACACACACACACGTGTTTAAAAACAAAGAACAGGGAAATAAGTTTAAATTGAACTAAGTGTTTGTCCTTTGTCCTTCCCTCTTGCACATTCCTTGTCCTACCTCTTGTGATCTCTCTGTTGTCAGTGAGTCCTCCACACAAAGAGATGGAAACATGAGGCAGGTCCCCTATGTGGTCGGACAAACTGTCAACACCGCTGTCCATCCCACTGCTGCCCATCCCACTGCTGCCCTCTGAGTGGGGGGACTGATTTGCGCTCCGTACTCCCATCATCATCAACTCAGAGTCGCCTCTCATGGAGCTGCTGCCACCGTCACTGAGGAGAGAGAAATACATACGCTCTCAAACAGATACATCTGTAACATCTGGTGTTGTGATCATGACTGCATCTTGGGCCATAAAAGAAATATGTTTGACAATATTTCATAATGTCTCTAAATGTAGCACATGAGGTAGATCGGCATATTTGAAATACAGTAACAAATAACTAGATATTAAGAACTTGCCTGATCATGCACTTTGGGGTTGTACCCAAATGGTTATGGCTGCTTTGTTTGGATAAAAGTGTCAGCTAGATAAATGTAATGCTGTGGTGGTTAGCTATTGCCATAAATCCTTATAAAATATTGAACAAGTTATTGATTACATTTGTAAAGCAGGACAAAGAATCCTGCCTAGGAATTCAGTGGGTGTATTACCAAACATAAGTAAGTTATTTTACTGCTATCAAAGCTATCTGCACATGAAATGTTCGGTGCATGATTATGTTTGTTACTGAACCTTTTAGGGAAGTAGAGAGCAGCTACTTCAGGCTGCAGCTCTGTGATGTCATCCAGGTAAATGCCATCAGCGCCAAGGTGTTGGCTTCTTTTTTCTAATAAAATACAAAATTACACATCACCATCAGCATGATAATGAAGCATATAGAAATGTTTAAGTACAAGAAAATCCTTTGTACTGTTTGAGATACTGGTACCTTTCCTCTTTGATGGTGAATCAGTTGATCTGATGGGACTTTCTCCAGCCCCACCTTCTTCAAGATGATCAATGAGAATCCTGGGAGACACTGAGCCGGCTGATAAACCCTCAATCTCCGCACAAGACTGCCCAACATTTTCCACCTCTCCAACTACAGGAAAGAAAAAGAAAGTGAAAAGCTTGTATAAAACAAGCTCATGGGTCACTGATACATAAGGTTCATTTGAGAACTGTCCACAAGGATTTGGGAAATTCTACAATCCTTTTCTCATTTGATTCATTCAGAAGTGACATTTGCAAAAAAAAACAGTAACTTAAAAAAGTAAAACACCACTGGAGGTCAGTAAAGGGCCACTTTTTCAAGACTGACAGAGAGGTTTAAAGTATTTAATAAAGGTTTTTAAAGGTAGCTAGATAATACCATTTACCTAATTATGGATTAGTTTAAACTGTAATGTTCTAGGCTTGCAGATAATACCATTCTGTCTTCCAGATTATGACCATGCTCACCTCCAGGCCTGTCCACAGTCGCCATAGTTAGTTCGGCCCTGACTCCACTTTTGCTTTCTTCGGTGTCCTTGTCCTCACTGTGAGCAGCAGACTCCCCTGGCTGGGGAGCGTAGAGAATGAGGGAGGGGGGTCCCGTGTCAAGGATGGTTCTAAAATGAGTGCTGGAAGACACCGGGATGGAGACCACTGGGGGAGGGTGCTGCTTCTGGTGGTCAGTCAGGAAGGCCGGCTATGAAAGAAAGAGAAAGGGGTGACTTTACACTCTTTTTATGTGTGTGTGCTCAAGTATGTTCTGTTTTTATATTTACTTATCTCCATTATTACATTTTGGGAACCTAATATATGTTTTCTCTTTTAAGATGAGAAGGTTAATCCCACTCTCATGTGTTACTGAAGCCAGCAGACTGTTAGCTTATGAAGACATTTTGGGAGAAACAGCTGAAATGATTCTGTCTAAAGGTAAAACAAAAGACTTACAAGCACCTTTAAAGCACACTAATAAATTACACGATATCTCGTTTGTTAAATCCGTACTTTACAAAAACAAAGGCATGTAGTAACATTTTTATGAAATCAATGAGCTTTGAGAATACCCCATGGCTTATAGCCTTGCGAGTCCTGAAGTATTTTTTACCTGGGCAGCTTGCGGCAGCTCCCCCCACGTCCACAAAATCTCAGGGTTTTTCTGATTGGTTAGCTCTGAGTCGCTCTTCGGTGTTGATGACCTAGAATCGTCGAGGCCACTGGAAAAGTAGATTAACACCAGTTTGTACCCCGTAGTTTAACAGATATACCATCTTTAAAATATATATTACATTTTAGAATACTAAGATTAAGTAAAGCAGAAATTATAATTACAATTATTTAAATACGTTTTACTTCCTGCAAACATTAAGCTTTACATCCATTCGTGAATAATTGTATTAGCAGCATTCAGAGAGCGGAACATTGAAGGTGATACCTAACGTGGGGGGGGAAGTGAGAGGTCTCCTGAGGACAAGAGATGGACAGACCACAGGCTGAAGGGATGGAGAGCGTCTCCACCGTCTTGATCCCATGACTGCAGAAAGATAAAAACACAGAAAGAAGACAGTACATTTTAATTATTATCAAACTGAAAACATTGAGGATGCTTTGTAGAAATGTGACCCGAATGAAATAAAAGGAAGGGAAAAAAAGTTAGACAAAATAAGAAGATAAGTTAATCATCAAGTGTAGTGAGTAAGTAATACCTCTGTGAACGGATCCAGTCAGTGCTGGGGTGTGTGAGCGTGTTGGCTATAGACCCCTGATCACCGTACACAGGTCTGAACACAAACACACACACATGCATTGAGATGACATTCTTATGCAAACACGCATGTCAAAGCCTGTGCACACACCATACTATAAAAACACAGTGTAAGTGCAAGTCCAAATAAAGTCAAACAGGGGATTTGCTTATGCTCATAAAAATGTCATGAAACGTTTGTTTGAGCAAAACCAAACAGAGTACAGTATGAGGCATCACATGAGGTAAACACACATTCTTTCATCTCCTCAATGGTTTCTAGAGAGCTCCTGCCCTAGTGGTGACCTTCTTTAAAAAAAAATATTTATTTCAAAGACACACAAAGCACTGTGGGAACAGGAAGAATCCCGGGAGCGCAACCCACAAACTGAGCTGGCTTTCAAAGGTTTCACACACATACATAAACTCTAACATGTGCACACATGCAGACACACCCATTCATTGCATCTCCCTCAACTGTTCTTAAGAGTTTTATTTGAGAAATTGGAATGATTTTACAGAATTTAGAAAGATCGGAAGAGGCTCGGAAAACATAATTCTCAATTGTCTTTGATAATTTCTAAGGAAATATTTGGTATCTCTTTTTTCCCCATTGTCTGAGGTGGGTTGGTCTCACTTGGAGAAAGAAGATTTCACATACTTGCCCCAATAAGGATTTAGTCATATTTTAATCAGAATTCAATAACAGTTTTTTAGGTCACTATAGATCAAATCTGAACAAACCACGCAACCCAGTGAAGAAGTATGGCTACGCTTTCGAGTGTTAAATTGTCCAAAGATGTTCCTTTTTCAACTTTAATTGTTGCTCTTTAACAATAAGCATTGCTATTTTGAGAAGGCTAATCTTTGTAACAAGTACAATTCTAAGATGCTTATTGTCAGCAGGTGTTTTATCTACCATATTCACATATCAGTTTACCATGTTAGCATACTGACCTTTGAAAATAAGCACAACACACACATATAGCTGAATCTGGAAGCCATTGTTATTGCAGGCACCAATATTTTGTTACAAACCTGGATCTGATGATGGCGCTAGATCACCAAAGTCATTACAGCTCATCCTTAAGGGGGCATGATTGTTGTTGTTGAATACCATGGCATCAATCCAAAAGCTGTGGAGATAATTACAGACTAACCCAAAGAGGGGGACACTGCCATCTACATTTATTTTACTATATTTATTTGTTTGCCTGTCCTTGTTTGTCTACCCTCCCTCATACTGTAAAGCGTCTTTGAGTTGTGAAAAGCGCTATATAAATAAAATGTATTATTATTATTATTACATTGCTATATATGGAAACATTCCAATTTCTTCTGTTTCATGCGCTGAAATGCACATGCCCTCTTTTAAATTGCTGGAAAACCCACTCACACTCATTCATGCATGAAACACATAACAACACAGTCTTTATGCTTAACACAACTATTGGCAGTGGTTCATCTACTTAACAACCATCATTGTGAATGTTGAGAAGAGCCCATTGAGGTTGTTTACTACAGCAATGGAACAGAGTGACTGTTGTTTTAATAACTCCTCTCTCAAACATTAACAGCTAAATTGTTCAAACTGAAACACACAATCCAACAACATATCATTTACACACACATACACACACCTGCCGTCACCCTCTCTCTCCTCGTCAGAGCTCAGGTCAATAGTAAACATGTCCTGGTCCTCAGAGAACTCTTCATCACTCTCCTCTCTCCTCCCTCCTCCTCCACCTGCCTCTGGTCGTGCCTTCTTCCTCCTCTTCCTTCTCTTCTTTATCATCCCCCCATCACTTTGCAGCATTCCCAGGCTCTGGACAGGAAGTGAACCGCAGGGGATGGTGTCTATGCCATGTGAGAGAGTGCAATGAAAACTGTTAGCACATACGCATTTACACAAATTACCAAATGTATTTTTAAGAGGGCCTACCATGGTGACGGAAAGTGCCCCTCCCCAGCTGGGACTCCATTAACTCTGCACCAGTCGACACGATGGGTGAGGTCGCAAGGTAGGATGGGACTATTTCCTGTAAACACAGAAACATGACATGATAATATGAGGTAATCTATAGTGTAAACATCCATAATTCCCTTCAAACTCTGATTTAAATCAACTATATTTTATTTAAAACAAAGGGAATTTGGAGTGAAATCATTGGGAAGAAGGTAGAAGATATAGTGGGGTAGAAGATAAAGAGTATGCTCTATAGCTGTAGTAAGCAGCAGGGGTGTTTTGAGCTACTAACAATGAATATGCTAACCATTTCAAGCAGGTATAATGTTTACCATCATTTGTTTACCATCTATGCAATTGATGTTCACCAGCAACGATGTTGTCACATTAAAACACAATAGTCTGTTTGTGCACAATTTCTATGTAAGCCATGATATATCCATGTAATGTTTGTTGAGATATTTTTTTTGATATACTTTATTAATCCCCGTGGGGAAATTGTTTCTCTGCATTTGACCCATCCTGTGTTAGGAGCAGTGTGCTGCCATTTTGAACGGCACCCGGGGACATTTTATCACCGGGGGGAGATATTAAGAACAGAGTGGTGGGACAACCGACACATAACGCCATTATTGGAACCGTGCAACTATCTTTAAAACAAATCCAAATGCATATTATTTATACCACAAAAACATACGTATTGTGGAATTGAAGTCTTACTGTTTAATTAAACAGATCCCCCACCGATACAAATCCACATCATCTGGTTTGATGTTGAGGTTGAGCTCAGATTAGTTACATCTCATAGAGACAGAGAGCCAAATAGTAACAGGGAAAGATAAAGAGATGATATGGTCTGCAGACTGACACATGTCTTGCAGTTCACGTGTCATGACACAGTCCAACACAGTCAAAGTCAATGTGAGGGTGAGTAAAGGAACAGTGGTCAGGATGTGCAATATGCCAGGTCACAACTCATCTATTCAGAGCAATATATGCTGGGAACATACACAATCTTGCAGGATGGGACATGTAAGAATTCGGTTTTGTATATCTTTGGAGACAAATGCATCTACCAAAACAGCTTTGTGCACAGCAGAACTAATGAAATCAAACACCTTTAATCGTCTTTTTTCACCTGAAAAGGATTTCAACTCAATAAAATCAAGGTTCATTACAACATGTGGATTGTATTACCACAGGTATTCAGAGATCCTGATGTTCTAGCCTGATGATTACATCTTCCTGGAACATTTGGTAAATGTTTCCCTTGCAGGATCTTATTGCCATACACAAGCCCTAACAAGTCCTCCAATTTAGTAAAGAGCAAGTTGGATAGAAGACTCCCAGGAGACTTGGCTTGATGCCAAATAGTTGCCGTATAAATGCAGTGAATCTTTTTCCATTCATAAAAGTGAGATATATCAAAAACACTGATGGAAGATAATAAATGTAAAACTGAAACTGACAATCATCAAGCTGCTATATCTGACTGAAAAGTGTTTCATTCCTTGCATGTTTATCTGTGCTTTAATACTCTACATTACATGTTGTATGTGCGGTTTGTCCTGTTCCTATTTCACACTCTCTGTGTGCCGAACCGCCTCGTCTGTCTGGCACTCAGATCAGTGACCGGCAGTTTCAGAGTGCAGTCTCAGTGCAACAGACTGTACAGAGGTGAATTTGCCCGAGTTATAAATAGACCCCTGGTTTTCCACTTTCCAGAGGAAATGTTGGGTCAAGGCGAGATTATGCCCAAACAGTGGGATATAGATGGCCAAAGAGACAGACATTCAATTAAAAGTACTTTATTTTCCCATAAAGGACGAAGGAATTCAAATATTCTTGCAGGACCCCCTCTTTAGAGCACCCATGTCAGACCAAAGTAATCCCTCAGATCAGGTTTGAGTTCTTCTCAGAATAATTCTGGGGAACATTGCCAGCTCCCATCATGCTCACCACTCATTCTTGTTTCCTTCAGACGAGTGAAATAACAACATCCACTGCTCTGTGTGAAATATCTTCCTCCCCAGTATCTGTTTATGCTGTCTGTCTGTCCTGATGGTTTATTTCCAGGGAACTAAAGTCATGCATGCAGACAGGATGCAACACAGGGACAGATCTTCATATTTCTGCTGGTGGAGTCTTTCTCCGCTTTTGTACAAAACAGAATCTCAGATCAGCAGATCGTTGTCCGGAAATTCTAAAATAGATGAATGTCTGTTCACATTATTTTGTGTTTCCATATATATTATATTTTTGTGGTACTATAACACATTTTTCCATTTAATTTTTGTTCTTTTCTTGAAATGCCTTTCATCCACTTAGTACATTGTTATTTGCACTGTATGAGTGAGACTTATGATCTTATTATAGCCTTTCTGCAATTTAATTTGTGGAGTACTGTGTGTTATCAAGGCCAAGACACTCTAGGGTTCATACAATTGGTATCTTTAGGACAATTCTGTTTTGCTTATTTATGGCCAAACATCACATTGCATAATGACGACAGATCAGTCACTATTTAAATACTTTTACGTCTCCATTAGCAGCTGCCCGCACAACTCAGTCTCATGTTTCATTTCAGACTACAGTAAAGAAGGGGCACGGTTGTGCCCCCTCTGGGCGTGTCTGTGCAGAAAACTATAGATCTAGATCTGATACTGACAACACTATGTTGTGTATTTGCAGATTCACCAGTAAGTGGTGCTTCTAAGCTTCTTAGCTTCTAAGACCTTCATGTCAGTACGTTATGTTCCATCCTATATTTGTGTGTGTTTACTGACTCATAGAAACGACTCTGTCAATCATCACTTACCATCGTGTTTTCAGTTTCTTTGACAAAGAAGGCCTCTCCATTCTCTCCCAGCTTCATGTGCAAACTCACCGGCTCTCCGTTAATTTCGATGTCAACCTGCAGGAGAGAATCATGATGTTTAAGCATGTCTAAAACCCTTTTATCATGAATAAATCCTTTATTTGTGATATTGTGTTAACATTTAGTAAGTGAACGTTTTGTAAATGAATATCCGTGTTATCTTACAGATAGCATGTGTTTGTGTGAAATCCGTCACTTTTAACTTTCCAATAGCAATACTCAGACCGTAGAATGTCATCAGAATTTTGCTGCAACGTTTTTACCAAATGAAAATGTCTGAACACTGATTAAAACTTATGTTATGACCTTCTGTCCTCACAACTTTTTCCGCCTTTGCTTCAAAACTGTAGTCAGGATCAGTAGCGTGGCGTGGGGAAAAATGTAGGGGAAGCCCATTTTTTGGGTCGGGGGGTGGTCAATAACGTAACCAGATGAGTGATTACAGCGCCCGGTATCATTTTACACACATTTGTATCACACAGATGCAGGACTTGCACACGCCTGTTATCTAACCGACAGGTCCGCACGCACTCTCCAGCTGAAACTCTCTCCTTATTAATTTAAGCATTTTACTTATTAATGTATGCAGACAATCACACAATCTATGTGATTTTTGGATTTACCGTGCCTCTCAATTGCCCGTGACAGGTTGGCAAGGTCGATGAATCCTGAAGTTGCCCAAGGATTGTTCAGGGAGCACGAATCCTTGTCAAAAAGAAGACATGGCCAGCAAATTAGACGCTGAAGTTTAGCGCTTCCAGTTAGCCACTCCGTGCGGACATAATTGTCCTCATTGAACATCCGATTCTCTCCCTTTTTCCTCTGTGTACACACAGCTCGAGTGCGGGCATTGGCCTGTCATCTGATTTAATTTTTAGTTGCTGCTGTAGCGGAAGTTTAGTAAAGTTATGTTTGATTAAGTACGCCAAATCTCCACCCTCCATAATGCTTCATTTGCTTGATCATTTCTAACGGCGGTGATGACAGTTACAGTATTAAAACTGATGTTGATGTGATTTGATTGGATGGCAGTGTCCAATCAAATCGCCAGCCGCCAGCCGCCTCTGAAGGGAAGCAAGAGGCGGCTAGCTTCCCTTGGCATGGCCCTGACCAATCACAGGTTGGCAGGGGCATCACGTGGGCCTCATCTGATTGGTCAATCCCTCCATTTTTTTTCACCAAGGGAAGCTAGATTCGGCTGGCCTCCTCTCGCAACAGTGAGTGCAATCTACTGTTTCACCATAACATCTAGAGGGGCGCTGTTTGTTTCACTCTTTGTAAAATACTCAATGAGAATGGGGGAGAGCCGGGCCGGCAGCAACACACAGCAAAGGAGAATTATCGAAACAAAACAAAGTGTTTTTATTTATTTATTTAAATTATAACTACAATCCGAAAAAACAGTGGAAGCCTGGCTTCCCTTGGCCTCCGGGAGAAAACGCCACTGGTCAGGATACAAGTGTGACTAACGAGAAAGTGTGATGTAGGCAGCACCCTGTAATCTCACCAGTTTCTCACTGGACCGCAGCACACCCATCTTGCCGAAGCGGACGTGGAAGGGGGAGCACTTCAGGGTGCCATCGGGCTGCCGGACCACGATGACATCTATACATCCTGACAGGGTTGCAGGGTTGAGTCCCCTGTAAAGCTCCTTGACCTGCACAAACACCTGACCCGCCAACTGACCCACATAGTTCATGGTCTGTAGCTGGAGACAGGCAGGAATACAAGAGAGAGAAATGTATGGTTAATTACTTTCTCACAAAAAATGTTGTACTTCTTTGTTCATGAAACCTTAATTGTAAGGCCTTTAACGTATGCACATGATAGTGCATGGACCTATTAGCTGTAGGAGTTTGACAGATGGGATGTTTTATGTAACCACAAGGTCTCCCTGCCACATTGAAAAACATTATTGATCCACTAAGTCCAATTACTGCCTGCATAAGCCAGCCAACTTTGCAATCTCTTCTGGAACCATAAACAATGACAGCATACTGGTGACGTAGCTGAGTATGGGGTTTGTTTGTGGTTTTGACTGGTGTTGGTATGTTGGTGCATGGATTTGACACATCACGAATAACAAAGCCTGAAAAAATTACCTGAACAAAGAAAGACTTTAAGTGTATTTAAAAGAAAAAGGTCATGTCTAACTAAATTGTATGTACAGCAGCTAATGGTCCTTTTGGGGGTTAACATCTTTTCATAGAGTACAATGCACAATGATGAGATAAAGAGACAGAGTAGACACAACCATTAAGAAAGAGAGAGGTAGAAGAGAATGGGAAAAAAGACAGGGGGAGAGAGCCATAAATAAGTAAGTGAGAGTTAAGAAAAGGGAAGCAGAGGAAGAAGGGAGACTGGGGGAAATGGATAATGTTAGCTTATTTTAACAGGAAATTGGGGGGAGATATAGAAACAAAAACAAAAATGTCATCACTGTCTTATCTGTGTAACAAACTGCCCTTCAAAATCTCCACCCGACACCTGCGTGTGCTTACTCGTCACAAAACACACACACATTAAGTGCAAGCCAAAGTGACAGATGGCTCAATATTTTTGGCAGACCATGTGAGAACATCATGTAACGAGTTTGGTTTGTTTACATTGAAGAAAAGTGAGACACTCAACTATGACTTGTTTTGATCAGCCTGTGATAATAAAAACTATTTTATTAAACAAATGAATACACTGTGTTCAGACTGAGTTTCATTGTACCTCTGCTTGAATCAAATGAAATATGTCCTTGAGATCAAGAAATATATCTTCTAACTCAAATGTAATGTTGCTTTTCCTAGGGACAATTTCTCTAAACTGGCACTGTTTCTGGACAAGTATTTTAATGCTTTGAAATTAAAAAGAAAAGTTACCCGAATGGCTTGACACGTACAAATATGACTGTTATTTTTGTTTGTCATTCGAGTGAAATGACCCTTTAATCTCCTAGTGTGCTTGTTGCTCAATAACTGGGAGTGGGACTGTTTGACCATTAATACATAATTGTTTGACCCCATGGTATTTATTTTATTTCTCTCACAATCACACTCGAACATACACTCATTCATGGACATACCACAAACCTGATATCACTGTCAACATTGACCACGTGCACATACCCACACACACAACCACACGCATACGCATGTATACACACACACACACACACACACACACACACACACACACACACACACACACACACATATAACCAAAGCCTCTCCCACTTTTCCAGGAAAACTTTTCGTATTAGCCAATCACAATGCTTCCTTATTATATAACAGCCAATCACGAGACAACTCGTAAGTCATTCAACGTAATGTAGTGCGATTTCTGTATTAATTATTATTGCAGTAAAATAAATGCTGTTTTATCTGGGGCGATTAGGAAACAACAACAAGGTTATTCTTTATTTTTTTCAATATAATCCTCCAATGTCACTCTCACTGCAGCAGCACAGATAATGAGATCAGCACATATAAACAGAGAGGGATTTACAGACAGATTATGATAAATATTCAATTAGCCTATCAATTTAATGCGACTGAAGCAGCAGGCAAACACTGGGATTACAAGCCAATGGCTACAAGAACAATCAGAGATCATTTAAAAATATATATTTCTACTCATGTATAACCATATCGTCTATAAATAGGGAAATGTGACATGAACGCGCCTACGCTGAGGCTGAACACATGTGGTTCATGAAGCGATAGTCATGCGTGGCCTGGGAGCAAACATGTAAACATCTGCACACGGGGTGAGGCTCTGCTCCGGAGCTTCATTCAAACACTCGCACACTGTAAATACTGCAAACCCTTCATTTAACCGACTAGGAAAAAAACACTGAATGCATAGTAAACAATGATGCGTTTTAATTTCCTAACGCCACGTTACTGTACAGTGCAGTGAAGCATACAGTAGCCTACTTACATTATTTATTGATCTCGCTCTTCACTTCGAAATCTTTCCGCCATCCAATTGTTCGACCAAAACGTGCTCTGCAGGGTTAATCCGTTACATGATAGCCTGCAGATTCATTATTGTCTGTAAAGGCTTTCCTCACATTTGATCTTGACTCTGCTCGAGGCTGCTATGCTTTTTAACCGCAGTTAAAAACAGTCCTCCCACATGTACAGGGGCTGCACGAACAGAGCGATCTGATTGGCTGAGCCGGTGCTGATGTCACAGCACCGGCTCAGCCAATTAGACTGAATATTTCCCCTAATATGTATTATCACAGTAAGATTTACTATGGCTATAGTGTCTTGGTAGTGTTGTTGATGTTCTATGATGTATTTAACCCTGCGTTAATATTTGTTTTCTATTATTTTAACTTGTTTTACGTTTAACTTATAATGAATGGCTTTATTACTGAACAGAAAGTCTACCATAACCCTTTATTATTAGGTTGGCCTCACAAGTTCTATAAGAAATTATATTCTCTATCGTTTTCATGTGCACAACACACAATAAATAACATGTAAAAACCAAGTACAAATGAAAACATACACCATATAAAGTAGGCCTATATTAAAAGTTTGCATAAGACACAATGTTAGGAGCCACATAGTTGGCTAAATTCTAAAAAAGCACTTGCAGAAAATTATATGTAAGTGTTTGGCATATATTTCTTCCTATGTATAACCGATAAAAGACCACAGTTAGAACAAATCTTGTTCTTATTCTAAAGAAATACAAGTCAAGTATTTGGGGCAGATGAGACAAGAATAGCAGTGACATTAGGAAGACTTGAGGGCATGTGTAGTTGTCTCAGTTTTCAAAATGTAAATCTACCCACCTTTATCCCAAATTATCCAGATGCTACATTGTACCCCCATCTACTGTATGTGGAATAACATGGTTTCAGTAAGTTTGATTTGAGCCACAATTAAAATATTAGATACAAAAAAATTGTTTTGGCAGTTATGTCGTGTTTGCTTTCTTGCATTCAATTCAATTCAATTCAAAACCTTTATTTATCCAGGTAAAATCCCATTGAGATCAATGATCTATTTTTCAAGGGAGACCTGCAGCAGTAGGTTCCACAAGAAGACATAAAAACATAAACAACAGAACAACAAAGGACATCATACAGCAAAATGTACAGGGATTACAATTTACATATTTAACCACATGTACAGGTACCAACAGCATCTGATTTTGTAGCATCCAACCGAGCTTTAAAAACATGTAGTGGTACGAGCTTGGTAATTTTCCATTCTTTTTGCAGACTGTTCCATGTTAGTGGAGCTGCACATCTAAAAGCTTTCTTCCCTAAGACAGTCCTAGCACTTGGCACATTTAATAAAACCACAGCATGCGATCTCAGGCAATAAGTACTTCCAATTAGCAGAGAGATCAGGGAGCAGATATAAGATGGTAGTTTATCCAACATGGCTTTGTAAATGAAAAAGTACCAGTGACTGAGCCTCCGTAAGTGATGGCATAACCGCCTTATGCCTTTAGCTAAGAAGATTGATACAACGCACCTGAAATGAGAGTAAGACTGATCTTATTATATAACTCATGGCAAGAGGGCTCAAATTGTCAAGTTATTCCTATCAGAGAGACATTTAAATGTTATTTGGCACATAATGCATCTACTTATAGCAAATAATAACAATGTAGTGTTATAGTGAAATGTATAATAGAATAGTACTGTATACAATACTATTCTATTATACATTTCACTATAACACTACAATACTATAGTAAAAAGCCAACAGTCATTAGTGTATGGCCTCCCTATGCCAGCTGATTACAAATGTCAGAGTTACAGACTAAGAGAAGCCTGAGAAGAATATATAGCCTTTACTAGAGTACTGCTGGTATATGTACTCGTACATATATAAATATGCCCTTTACTGAAATAGACACAGTCACTGTAATACAGAAACAGAAAGACATGAAGATCTGTGTGACATCAGTATGGTGCCAAGAGGCAAACCAGACTTAATTAAATGTATAAAATAATATGAAAATGTTCACCTACAAATAGGTTCAAGGTTCTTTATTTCAAGGTATCATGCTGAAAAAACTAACAATGCTCTTGAGCATAGTCTGTGCACGGAAAGCCTTTTATCAGTGTATCCCTTTAGCTTTATTTAATGCATGGCTTCAAACCAAAAGTCCATCAGAATTACTTTCAAATCAAGGATTTCTTCTGTATAGATTATATAGACACACAAAATGAATAAAATGACTCTAGAACTTGAACAAAATGTGTGTCAATATTATATTAAAGTAAAGGCGGCTGTGGCTCAGTGGATAGAGTGCTGGACTTTGAATCAGGGTGTACCAAGTTCGAGTCCCACTGCATGTCGTCGTGTCCCTCGGCAAGACACTTCACCCCAAGCTGCTCCTGTGTGGATTGTCCACAGTACTGAATGTATGTAAGTCACTTTGGATAAAAGCGTTTAACAAATTATATGTAAAGTGTTATTCTTAATTGTTGTTATGCATTCATGACTTCTCTGATCAGATTATAGTACAGTTATGTAAGGTGCTAAGAGTCGAGCCAGGACAAAGTTCCAGCTTTAGACAAACAAACACAACAGTTTGTCTCCCCGGTACAGTCTCACAGTGTCCACTCTGCTGTTTCTCAATCATTCTGAGAGCCAACCAAACCAGTTACAAGCAAATACAACTTCTCCCGCTTCTCTTTGTTATTATTGTAATTCTTAGAGAGTTGTTATTCAACACATTTACACACACACACACACACAACACACACACACACACACACACACACACACACACACACACACACCACACACACACACACACACACACACACACACACACACACACACACACACACACACACAAATTAGGGCTACATAGTAACTTTCTCGACATGTAAGAGCAGAAGGCAACATTTATTTCGAGGAATGTGAGAGAATGGTTTTAGTGTGTGTGTGTGTGTGTGTGTGTGTGTGTGTGTGTGTGTGCGTGTGTGTACATTTGCACTGCGTAACTGTTGATCATGTGATGTGACTATTCGCTTTAGCGTTGCTCATGAACTCAAACACACACACACATATACACGCACGCACGCACACACACACACACACACACACACACACACACACACACACACACACACACACACACACATACACACATACACACACACACACACACACACACACACACACACACACACACACACCACTCCCCCTATGCTAGCCAGAGAGGGAACAAGGACACACGTGTTGGGTTTTCTAAGAACTGAGTCATTCATCCGGGAGTAACAGAAAGCCAACTAGAGGGGGAGAGGGGGGGGGGGGGGGGGGGGGGGGAGAGGGGGACACATTCAGAGAATATGGAGATAGGCGAGTGGGCTAGAGAAAGAATTTGCAGGAATGTCAATATTTGTGTGGTTGTGTGACAAAGACGGAAAGTTCAGGTGTGACAGAGGAACTGGTTACTTAATTGATTTACAGAGGTTACGTAAACACAGTAATAACTATACAAAGTCATCTTTTAATTTGTATCGTCTAAGGTCAATTATGATAGACTGGAGTTAGATGAGGAGATGGTTTCTAGCTTATTTTGTTGTATGGTATGGTTAGCTTGTATTAGCACAAGGACTGGAGATAGGTGGATAGCTTGCTTTCTCATTTCAATGACCAGTGACAAAGTCAACCTAACAGCACCTCTTAAACTCACTAATTAACATAATGTTTCGTTTGTTTAATCCATACAAAAAACAAAGTTTGTCTAGCTGTTTCCCCTTGTTTTCATATTTCATGCTAAGCTAAATAGCTCTGGCTGAAGCTACTCAGTTCACCTACAGGTGTCAATATTCTCATGTGACAAGATCATTTCTATAATAATTATTATAGTTATATAGTATAGTATAATTAAAGAGCTTTTATTTTAACAGGGCTATCATTGAATCAAACAGAAGCATATTCAAGAAATTACATTGTAAACACTGATAAACGCTTTGGGTAATTTCAGGAATTTCCTTCATTAGAACTCATTTGGTTGTTTGTTTAGGGATAGGTTAGTATTTGCTCTCTGCATACATGCATGTGTAACCGCGGCTGCGCACACGGCCTAAAGTTTAGCTGTTCTACTGATCAAATTAGCCCTTTAACTCAAATTGATCTAACAGCAAAAACTCCACAGATTCAATTTAAAGAGACACGATATAGTTGGCAGTCAACAAAAAGGTTCAAGACAAGGATTTACTCCCAAGAGTATGACATTTATTATCAATATCAGACAAATTTAAAAACAATACTTTAACCAGTAAAAAAGAACAACAATTTATTATGAATTCATCTACTATGCTATTTAAAATGGTATCCAGCGTATAAAAACCGACTAAATGAGCGCAGACAGTTACTGTTGGGAGGGGGAAGCAAGCAGGTCAAATCTAAATATTACTCACCGCCACTCACATATGAAGGGCCGTGTAGGCCAAAATTCAAACTCACCTCGCACACACACTACTGAAAACATCTGGCCTTGCATACACACTACTGGAATACTCTCACATTCACTACTGAACACCTCACACACACACTACTGAAAACATCTGGCCTTGCACACACACTACTGAAATACTCTCACATTCACTATTGAACACCTCACACACACACTACTGAAAATTAAGCCTCACACATATTACTGAAAATGAACAACACACAACGCAACGGAAAATTAACCTCACGCACACACTACTGAAAACCTCTGGCCGTGCACACACACTACTGAAATACTCTCACATTCACTACTGAACACCTCACACACACTACTGAAAACATCTGGCTTGCACACATACTACTGAAATACTCTCACATTCACTACTGAACACCTCACCACACACACTACTGAAAACATCTGGCCTTGCACACATACTACTGAAATACTCTCACACACACACGCTACTGAAAATGAACGTCATACACACACTATTGAAATCCTCTCACATTCATTACTGAACACCTCGCACACACACACTACTGAAAATTAACCTCACACACACACACTCCGGAAAAACATTTTACTGAAAGGTTCTCAGTAGGGAATCTGCATGTGTTTCACCTATGTGTGTGTGAGGGGATTCTTGCTGTAACGGAAGTCA